TCTTCATTATTGTGATTATACCATTTATTTAATAAATTTCATATTTTAAGTAATATCATAAATATTTGTAATGAGTGATGAGCTTTGAAACTGAAATTTTCAGAACTTTCTCACCATAAGTACGTTTTTTTCCAAAAAAAAACTAGTAATAATACGAAATCTTAGAATTATTTTCTATTGTGAAAAATTTTATAAGCACAAAAAGCTATAAGAAGCATTATAGACATCTCGATGTAGGGGTTATTTGCACACAGCCAACATCACATCTGATGGTGTGCCAATGGTTAAGCTACGATGCCTTAGAACTTTGGTAGATTTAAATCGCCGTACTTCCAAAAATCCATTAGGTAAATGCAATATAAAATATACAGAAAGTTTATTCAGATGATTCTCATATACGTCATTTTGTACGTAAATTCAACAATTGATATACTTTGATAAATCTCCTTCATATGATTCTAAAAGTTTTTAGATGTTTTCACGTTTTCATAATTTATGGTTACTTAATACTAAACTGGTTAATAAGTATTATACAACTGTTATTTTTTAAGCTGAAAATGGCAAATCACTGAGTCTCGGAGTAGCTTTATATGCTGTAATTGGTTTATGTATAGTAGTCGGTAACTTTTCATACTTAACTGGATTATTAACGTTTTATTATGCGATAGCAATCCCTGAAGTCAGTTTATTAATAATTATTAAAAGATTATAGTAAACTTACGTAATGATTTTAAAAATGACCACAAGCACATACATGACTTCATATTGTGATTGCTTATTTCTTTAACAAACATTTTACTGTTTGCTTTGCAGTGTATGATGATTTTGCATATTATTGATAATATTTGTATTTAAAAATAAAAAGATCAAATTTTCTTCAAATTACAGTCAAATTTAAATTATTTAATTTTGATTGCACAATATAAATACAAAAATTGTGTGCTAATTTAATTTATTATTGCAGCTAAAATTCGATTGAGTATAACATAATAAGGTACTTTAGCACTTATATGGAATTAAAAGATCTTACCAAGACAAGATAAATAAGCATAAGATAAAAATTAATTACGGGAAAACGCAAAATTTTAAAAACGCTTAATTTCCAGGAAAAAGGCGAAAAAAATGAAAAAGGGAAAAGTACAAAAACAAAGGCTAAACAGGTAAGTATTTTCGTATTACAAACTTAGTAATCAAACTGTGAGCTTGTTTTTTGCTTTTTCAATTCATTTAGCATTTTAAATGGAAATAAAATCTGCTAAAGACTTAAATTTTGATGCTAAAACTTGCAGAAATTCGCTCAAAATAATGCGAAATTAGAAGCTCAATAGCGAAAAAATGTTGTATTCTCTCTTCTTATCCATGAATTGTATTTATTTTTAGTGCTGAAAAAGTACCATGTTGTTTTATTTCTGAAATGAATTATTAGTTCCTTTTGAAGGAAAGACTCATTTTTTTAACATAGTTCTGTACTAAATGTGTTGTGATTTCACGTGACTTTGTTGTGTGTTAATTTAATAAGATGATAAATCGCTACTTTATAACGACTTTTGAAAATTTTTTAAAAATTTTAATTTCTGTTTACTGCAAAAAAGAATTGTTTATGGCTTTAGGAATCGCTATGAAATATAAAACATAGCACTGATAAAGGTTAATATCAACTAATTATGTACAAATGTCAGACAAAAATGACCCTGATAACTTATAATCCCATGCTAATCAATGTGAAATTTTTTCAAAATTTTATTATTTCATTCAAAATTGGAATTTCTTTTTATGCAAAAGTCACAATATAATATCTAATAAAATATGAAGTGCTTGCTGTAAATTTGGTAAGCAGTGCAAATAGTAAATTGTATTAAAGGGAGTGGGATTTTGTATTGGTTTTTCTCGACAGTCTGTTATTTCAGAATGCCAGTCACTTACTTCATTTGGTTAAAATGTCTTGTCGTTTTATCATCGAACAGCATCACTAAGTAAGACTACTATCTAACAAATCACTATGGATAAGAATGAATTTAGGTTTACTCATTTACATCTTATTATAAAAGTAGCATGTAATAATATAAATGAAATGGCAATGATAATGATGATATTAATTGTTGTTATCATGATGACATAATGTCAGTAGTAATATAATTGTAATATTAATCATGATATTGGTGATAATAATACACTAAAAAACAGTCACAATAATATTGCTTTAGCTTTCGAAGTAAATATAACATTGCAGTATTATTGCTAAAACTACTCATTCAAAGTAGAGATAATTTGTGAAAACAATATTCATAATAATAAACTGTTGTTATATTTACTTCGAAAGCTAAAGCAATATTATTGTGACTGTTTTTTAGTGTATTATTATCACCAATATCATGATTAATATTACAATTATATTACTACTGACATTATGTCATCATGATAACAGCAATTAATATCATCATTATCATCGCCATTTCATTCATATTTTACATGCTACTTTTATAATAAAATGTAAATGTAGTCAAAACATTAAAGGTTAATGGCATAAATACATGCATCATACGTAAATTTGCATATATGTATGAGAATCGTTTATCTAATATCATACAAGAATTCAAACAGTATATTTAGAATGACAAGAAATTATCAGATATTATCATTCATTATCGCATTATGTGCCATCAATACCTTGCCACGATGTCCTCTTTCCAACATGCTATCTTGCAGGATAAATGTTCAGCACATTCCACGAGTGTATACTTATTGAGAAGGGACGAAGGAAACTTGCATTTGTTCAGCATTCCATACTTTAATGCCTTACTACTATGCATTCTAAGTAAGTGAATGTTTGATTATATACAATACAAGTACACGCTAACATTACGTCCGTTATTTCACAGTAATCCAGTTTTGGTAAGCATATTTGGGATAAAATCACGTCAACAAATCAGTCTCTTGATGATTTCAATATGTAAATGACTTGTGATTAGCAATTCAAAGTGCATTTCATACACTTTTCTAAACATAAGCACACTAAGTATGCAATCTTTCATTCAGTTATTCATGTCTTCTAATTATAAACGTTTCTCCTAAGCGATTCAAAGAGGCCAACTCCCGTGTAACATGGTTTGCTTCCTCAATCAAATTGATGTATTTCAACATACATTGTCTATTCATTGCCTCTTTTATTGATAGTTTAAGAATTTACGTGAACTACTACTTTGAACTCTATAATTCGTACAATTCATACTTCCAATTCAAACGTGTACATATATATATCATATATGTATACACAATCATTGACTGAAGGATTGTCTGCAGAGAGTAGCATATCTGTCACAAATGCGTATGATTGGTAATCTCTCATCCAATCAATTCATCATCACTCATTTTCATCCCACTCGCACCCACGCACTTCCGTCTGTTTCGTCACTCATTCATTCATTCATTCATACTTCATTCATCTGTCTAGACATTCCTCCACTCTAATTTATTTTTTCTTTTCTTCTCTATATCCTGTTGTTTATTAGTGATGACTTGTGTACTTTTTATTCTCTCATTTAATTCATCTCTAATGGTCTTTGGCATGTCTAATACAATTCTGTCTACCTAATTGCTTATCTTTTACATGTTTTCACCACAGATCGCGTATTATTTATGATTATTGGTTAGTAGAGGAAGAAAATAGACAATAAACGTGCGAGCGAGCGATTATTTATTCGATATCTACTCATCGTTTCTAACTCTTTCTATTCACTATGCACTCTCATTTTAATTATTTGTCTGTATTCTCTGCATTTTTAATCTCTTTTTCCTTTATCTTTCTGGTGCATTCATTTTCGTCGTTTTCTTCTTTCCAAGGTCACAGTCACGCGCGCGCAACCACTCCCTCGTAAACATGCCTCCGTTGCTGCTCGCTTGCGTCTCGTGCCTTGTTTTCCGCGTCATTTTAGACGTTAAACAATACATGTGATGATTTTTTTTTGCTTCTAAATATTTATCACTCGATTAGTAAGTTTATTGATTAACGGCCCTGAAAAAAATGATACAATTTTTACATATGAATGTGTTAAGTACTTGTAATGTGTGACAGAGTTAATAAAAACACTTTCGCTGCTTTCATATTGTACCAATTTGCTAATCTTATTTGCACTCGTAAATAGAAGTTGTGACCTGACGTAACTTCTATTACTTGTCAGTTTTGAAATACAGAAACAAGGGATTAGTATTATAAGTGTCGACGTCATAATGTCTCAATAGTGCGTATTATCATCATCGTTTGTCGTCTCTCGTATGATTTATTTACGATTTTTGGCTGTCTCATTGTCTTCTAGAAATTTCTTAATGGCATTGACCAAATTTGTTGGAATACGATTGTAAAATGACATTGTCGTTAATGCCTCTTTCGATGCAAATTTTGATTGATAACTCTTGTACTAAGTAACGTACAACTTGAGGTTGAATTTATGACCATTGCAGCAGTCAAATTATTTTGTAAATATATAATTATTAAAGTCAAGCACTTTTTCACTTGCATGCGTTGTTAAGCATTGATCGGTCAATCTCTTTGCTTCAAGTATTTCCTAAGCCTTATAAAGACACTTGCAGGAAAATCAATGTGTGGAATTTTTGCAGGTTCATTAGTTGATTTGCATCAAATTTCATGGTTAGTATTCAGTACTGACTTTTTGACATTTTTTTGTATTACCTAGTTGTTATGATAATGAAAATCAAAAATAAATCTTAGTAGTTTAGAACATGCGAAGTAATATGTTAGTTCGAGATTTGAAAAGAAGCAAACAGCTTGTTACTGAATTCATAGTTAAGTGAGCTTTAATTTGTACCTTTTCTAATCACATAAGGAAAGCGCCGAAGATGCCATCCATTCATTATGATGAAGCATAAATTGTGTTTTACGGAGGGCTGTGAAAATTGGTTAGGTCTGTGCGTAGACATTTTTAGGTTCTTATTGTTTATTTAATCTATAAATCATTCAAATTGTCACTGCCAATATTCGATAAACAACAAAGACTTTTCTTTTGTGCCAAAATGAGTGCAACCTTTACATAATGAAACAAATGTGCAAGAAATTATAATCATCAGTAGTGGCATTAATAGTAGTGATTTCTACAAGTTGCTCCTTTTTCACATCCACCTGCTCAAAAGTTAAAATATACAATCAATAATGGCATGTAAACAATCAACGATAAAAATATTTAGAGCTGAAAAATTAATTCTAAACTTTGGTGATTGTTATTTCTTACAAAGGAGAGATAAGTAATTTTAAAATTAGTGCTGGATATTATATTTATGGTTTTAGTATATTTGATGTACAAGCAAGAAATGGCTATGGCTCGAAATGATAATTTTTTTTAATATCAGTTATTACCGTAGTTGACTGTAATGAAATCAGTTTCATTGTCTTTGTTGATATTAATTATTGCTAATTATAAGCCAGCAATGTTTATCATTAACCTCGAATTGAGCATCGATGAAGTACATTTATTATGAAGCTGTGACTCTATCGATTTTTTGAAATTAAAAGCCAATATATTAGCAGTGAGGTTGAAATGAGTGCGGTATTTACAAACTTTCTTTTGGCATTCGTAGCATACGTTGTTACCTATCATTTGTTTTCTTTTTCATTTTTAAAAGATATGAGATAGAAAAGCATTCCAGCACTTTCAGAAAGAGAGCAGCAGAGTTTTCATTTTACTAAGAACTTATCCTAGTTATTGCTCACTTAATTTTAGATAGAAATAGGTGAGTATTAAGCATATGCTACGCTATTTTCTGTTTTCTCTGCAGTTGCTGAGAGCTCAAAGCATTTCTAAACTTTTTGTCAACAGTGATTGATAAAATAAAGTTATAGTTTGCATTGTTGGATATTAAGTTACAAAATTTAACCACCCGCCATATGACTGTTTTTCTCCCAGTCTGGCATGCCGTGTAATGTTTTTATTTTTTTAGAGTACGTAGCTGATTTGCTGTATCTGCGAAAAAATCTCATTACTGCAAAAATCGATTTTTATTCCACTCTAATCACAAAACTAGTTCCGTTTCTGTTATTTCAATATTGCTGGAAATATTCAGCGAAAAAAGATAATATTTAATATTGTTCCTCTGTGACAGATATTGAAGGCTGATTTGTTATCCGCTTTCTGTTGCTGATTGTATTTTTTTAAACCAGCAATAAAGAAACCATCTAGCAATAGATAACAGGTGTGACGCAACGACAGTAACGGTTCTAGTAGTGGCAGTAGCAGTGGTGGTAGTAATACCTGTTTAACATCATTTTGGGAGCTGGAGCATGCCAGCAACATCAGAAGCAATTCCAATACAGTCTACTGCTGCTGAAGCGCAATTAAGTGCGGACGATTTCGTTTCGTGCTGTATACCTGAAAACGACAGTTATCCTCTTGATTTATTTGACGATTCTTCATACTTGGATATGTCACATCATCTGCAAGGTGTTGAGAATGATGTTCCTTCGGCTGCTTCAGTATTCATACATCATGTGAGTTCTTTGGTCGCTATTGTTCTCGAGATTCCAGTACTAATTTTTGTTTTTAACTTGTGTTTTCAAAATGAAAAAGAATGGTGCTGACTATTTTTATTAGTAAAGCCAAGCATTTAGTTAATTACCAAGATAAGAATTATTTCAAAATTATATCTGCTTCTTGATTACAGCTGGTGCTCATTTGATTATTTATTTCAAGTAATATTGTTTTAGAAGTTAAAAATAGACCTAAAAGAACTTTACTTTAGAATTATGCGATTGGAAATAAATTTGTTAGTCGTTTAACACACTGAAATTTGTCTAATGTCAATGAAGTTCTAGCATGTAAATAGTCGTTTTCGTCAAATTTTGATTATTGAAACAATGTTTCTAAAAATCTTTATTATGCTCAGTTTTTCTCTGTCTAGTATTTGGTGAGATAGAGCAATTATTGAATGTTGCGTCTCCCGCCAATTTTGTTTTTTTCTTTTGCTTAAAACAAGCAGTTATTGTGTTATTTTGAACCGTTGTACAACAGTGATGGAACTTTTTATGTCCACATTCAGTATGTTATTTAGCAGGAAGCAATTATTTAGTTTTCATATGGTATGTTGTTTATGTAGTTCAAGGAATGAAAGCACATGTTAAAGAAAAAATTTTTTTGCTTCTGTTAATGTTAGAAAATGTGGGGAATGCTCAATGAAGAATTGTCTTCTTGAATGCAAAATCCAATTATGTTTTTTCTCTACAAACGATATATATGAAGGTCTTGAGAATCATCAGTTTTCAGGCAAATGGGACGGATGTAGTACCCATTGGCTTCCTTCCGGGTGAAGTATTGGATTCAAATATGGACACTGGCTCTGGTACCGTCTACATAACGAATTACCGAATTATTATATTGGAGCGTATAAAAAATGCCGTCGCAGTCATTCCACTTTTGAGTGTTGATACAGTAGAATTTTGGTCAGGTGATCCATATGGATTGCAAATTGCTTGCAAGTATGGTCGAATATTCAGGTATTGCGAATGTGAATATTTTGGAAGAAATTGGTAGAAATATAACTATGTTGCAATTTAAGAAGCATTTTTTTTTTCGTGGCTGTCTTTTTAATTTTTTTGTAATTTTCGTAGTGCATATTTCTACCAATTTGCTAACATAAAATAAAGATCATCGGTATTTGTTCACTTAATAAAAGGAAATATTTGATATATAAAGCGGCTGAGGCATGAAACATTTGTAACTTAAGCAACTGTGGTTTCTGAAAAATTTTTGATAAAGCTAGTTTTTGTGACAATTTTTTTACTTTTTTTAAGACTGAGGTGTGCTAGCGATGTACAAGTTGAGTTGCACAAAAGATTGCAAAAAGCGACCTACAATATTGCGACAAGCAATGTATTTGCTTGGCAGTTTGCTAAAGCAACAAAAGTAAGAGCATTTGTTATTTGCTTCATATATTAGTTATTACTGGTAGGATATACATTTACTGGTACTTTTGTTCGTATCTTATTCCGGTAAAATAAATAACAGTGTGTTAATTGGAAAAAACTAATTGAAAAATGATGATCGTAGTTATAAATTAGTGTAGGAATTCAGTGAGTCTTTTAGTTCTATATTCTAGGTTCATTTCCCCAAATGGCTTCGGCTTCATTGCAATGAAGTAAAAGACATAGAATGTTCAGTGGAAAACGAATTCATAAGACTTAATTTTAATCGTCGTCATTGGAGAATTTCAAGAGCTAATACCAATTATTTGTATATTTTTGCTTTTTCTTTTTCACTATGGTTTACATCAAGTTTTTAGTCCGAAATATTGATCCGTTCCAGATTGTGTGCAACATATCCAAAATCAGTGATAGTTCCGAAAGACATAACAGATGATGAACTACGCGAAGTGTGTGCTGCTAGAAATAATGCTCGTTTTCCTGCTGCGGTATGGTGTTGTACGAAATATCGGTCGGTTCTGTTGCGTAGCAGTCAACCATGTTGTGGTATTTTCAATTATCGTTTTCCTCTCGATGAAAAACTGTTAGAACTGGCAAGAAAAGCTGTTAATGGTGGTAAGTTTTTCTATTGTAAATTAATGGTATGTTGTAGCTATCAAATGCAAATGATTGAAAAATCAGATGGAAATATATAAGGCGGTTATCATGGATTTTCAAAACAGTTGCAGGACCATCGTCTCGAAAGTTGCTGATTGTAGATTGTCGTTCATATACTGCAGCTTTGGCAAACAGAGTAGTGAAGGGCGGTGGAGCTGAATCGGAAGGTTGATTTTGTTATTTGGCCATATTTCTGATAAGCTTCACTCATATACGTTCAAGAATTCGAGCAATTGTTTGTTTATAAAGTGATTATTACAGAATATTACCAGCAAACTGAAGTTATATTCTGTGGTCTAGCAAATATTCATGAAATTCGCAGCAGTTTTCATAAGCTGCGTACTATTCTTGCTGGTCCTCAAGATCACAATACAATGTTGCAATCAATTCAGTCTACTTTCTGGTTGCAGCATCTTATAAGCCTTATTGATACGGCTCAGAGATGTGTCAAAGCACTTGTCGATGATGGTAATATTTAGTCCAGAAATTTTGTTGAGGAGAAATGAAGATGGGAATACTCTGGAAAAAAGAAATTGATTTAATATGAATGAAACTAACTTCGTTATTATTCAAATCAAAGATTCTGATCAGTCATCATGAAAAGTGATGTTTTTCAGGACGTTCAGTTTTAGTCCATTGCACTGATGGCTGGGATCGAACTACTCAAATTGTAGCTCTCACGAAAATAATTGCTGATCCATATTACAGGACTTTTGAGGTGAACAGTTTAAGCAAGCAAATACTTTGATTAGCTGTTTGTTCTTCATTTACAACTTTTTGTTTAAGGGTTTCAAAATTTTGATTCTTCGAGACTGGATTGATTTTGGTCATAAATTTGCTGATCGCAATGGTACTCGTAGTAGTGTAAGTGGGGAGTCGTCGCCAGTTTTTTTGCAGTGGCTAGATTGTGTTCATCAGTTACATCTCTTGTTTCCTGATGCTTTTCAGTTCACATTAAGTTATTTGGTAAAAATTTTGTATTTCCTTTTATTGTATCATTTATTTATCAATATTCTTTGCTTGATAGCAGTATACTCTTTGGAAGCCAAGAATTTTTGAAACTTTTTAAGACCAAACTAGCTCTTCATTGTTATTCCGGATTGTTTGGGACATTCCTCTGGAACAGCCAGTCTGAAAGAGAAAACTGGAATAAGGAAAACGGAGACAAAGAGACACTCTCATTGTGGTCGTTCTTGGATGAGTCTAAGCCAGAATATTGCAATGTTATTTACAATTCTGGAAAAAGTAACGGAAGGTTGCACACATCCTTGCATGTTGAAGATCTCAGTGTTTGGAAACAACTTTATGTTGGACCGTGTATCGAAAAACTGATCAACGTATGTTTTATTTGTTTAATATTATAGTTGTATTTAGGAATCCGTCTTGAATTTTCCTTAAATCTTGATTTCTTTACTTAACTATGTTTTATGGTCATAAAAGTGTTAAAAACTTGCTTTATTTAAAGGAACCGGGATCAAATTCAAGAATAGATGCAAGTGATCACTGTGATGTGGATCGTTTAAGCTTGAATAAAGCTCATTCTGCTGAGAGTCTTACTAATGTTGATGCTATTACAAATCAGGGATCTGCGAATGCACCGTATCTATCCTTCATTGTTATGTAAAACATGATGTTTCTTCTTTTTTTTCAAGTGCTGGTTAAAGTGATATGTATATTAAACTTTAGTTCGCATTCAGCATTTGCAATATCTGAGCAGTTATTACCTCTTCTGTAATTTTACTTCCATCTATTCACTTATCATTTCAGTTTAAATATTCTTTTATAGACATTCTGGAAATGCACAACCTCAGTTTCACAATAGCACTACTCATACATCATCAGTTTCGAGTGAAACAGATTATGCGCGGCCCGATGATAGTGATTTGTCTTTTACAGTGTATCGCGAAAGAGATCGTACTGCTATTGCTGTATGTTTTATCTCAAAAAATAATTTAATTCGGTAAAATTTTTGCATTTCTAAGAGTGTAAAAATTAAAATATTTTACTCGCGGGTGTTAGTGATTCATCGCTTAATGTATTTTTGGTTTTAGAAAGAAGTAGATTTTGATGGTCTGACGAAAGTCCTAGAAGTGCGTGAAGAAAAAACTCGTGAAAAAGTTGAAAAACTTCAGGTATACCTGCCATCTTTTATTCTTTTATTGGAATTTGAAAACTTGTTTATTATGTGAAAATTTGAATTGCAGGCATATCTTTGTTGATTGCTTTTTACTTGAACTATTATCACTTTGAATCACTTATTTTTGATAGATAGTATAGGTAATAAGATTGCTTAGTGAGTAAAACCGTCCAAAAAGGAGCTTCAGTTTCAGTTCAATTTGTAATTGTGTATCCTTCATCTATTATTTTCTTTTTTCGTTTGATTTTGGTTTTTCCTTCTATTCGTAGTTGTTACCATAGTATGAACTTTCAAGACGTCTATAGACGTGATACTTTTCTTTGTGAATTATTATTTTGAAATTTTGTTATATTTTGTTAGCTTCGTTGTAATCAAAGTACTTGTAGATTACAGAAATCGCACATAAAATTTCAGTTATTTTGAGTTCGTCATAAGAATTAAGTTTGGAAATATTTCAGTTTGTTGATATTAATGTGTAATTATTTGTCATAACATTGAGGGCTTTCTGCAGAAAAGTGTGTAAGTTGTGATTAAACTTGCGGATTTCTCTGTAATTTATGAGGAAGCCATACTGAGGCTATTTATACTAATTACGTTTCATATAGGAACGTATCAATATGTTACAAGAAAGGCTCGGGCAGCTGAGAACTGATGATGTGCGGAAAGTGAGTTCTGGTGTTAGTGGCGAGTCATCTGGGACGGACTTGAAAGTAGTAAGTTAATCTATTTCTGATTAAAGTCAGACTAATTATTTTAAGAATTTTACCTCTATATGCTGCTATTTATCATTCGCTTGAACCCAAGAAAATATTTGGGAATGCAATCAATTGGTAAGTTGTAATCAATTTTTTTACTTGATATCATTTTTATTTAATGATAGCACCTTTATGGGCAGTATTCGACAAATTTTAGTTAGAAGATAGTAGCAGTGCATCTTGTTCGGTAGAGTCAGTGCTTTCAAATATGTCAGTCGTTGAAAAGGAAGATGTTGCTGATATTTCTTATGGTTCAAAAGGGTGGTTGATAGATGAAGCTTCGCAAAAATGCATGTATTGTCAGGGGGCTTTCTATTACATAAGTAACCGGAGACATCACTGCAGGTCGGTTTCATTCTTATAATCTGTTTGCAATAGTGTCAAGATTATAAATTAATTTCTTATTTGAATAAGGTTATTAATTGATTTCTTATATGAAAACAGTATTCACAAATAATAAAGTGTAGATGAAGATATGCGTAGTTGGCTATATTGTTCATTTTGTTATCGTGCATTGTAATTAATTTCCAGGAACTGCGGAGGTATATTTTGTTCCTCATGTTCGAGACGTACATTTTTTCGAGTTTACGAAAATAAGGGTGGAAATGTGCGCGTGTGCATCAAGTGCTATGAATTTATGACGAAATCTCGATCAGACGATTTGGAAAAAGTAGAATTGGAGGAATCGAAAGAACTGGAACAAAGTTCTAAAGACGATGGAAGGATGAACATAGTTGAACTAGCATCGGAAGAAGAGGAGAATGGTGATAGTGGTGAGTCAGGGTTGTATTGATGACCCCTTTCTTGGAAATTTGTTTTGAAGTATGTCTCAGCATTATAGTTTATGAAAAGAGGGTTAATGCCTGATATTTAAAAATGGAAAATTAGAACAAACAGTATTAACTTTAATGTCAGAAGGAACATTGGAAATGTTGAGAGCTCAGTTACGTTGCACATTTTTTGTGTTACCTCGCTGAAGTATTAAAAAAAGCAAGATGCCAATAGTGACATGTTCGTTATTCTCTTTTTATATACCTTCTCACTTTAATTAATTGTTTTGTTGGTCACTCAAGGTTCATCTACCAGTATAGTGGTTGTAAAATGTGTAAAACTGTGAAGAATATTATATTCTTTTATTGTTTCTGTTGTCTGACACTTATTCCTATGGATTGCTTTGAAATTGTTGAAGTTCTATTCAGTTTTTAGCAGTTTTTATCACGTTATTTCAAAGGATGTTTTACTGTTTTATTGTAGTTCTCATTGAATAAAAAAACGAGATTATTTGTCTGATCAATTTTATATGAGTTGAGCATGTAAAATTTCTTTGATACTCCTGTGCATTTTAAAAAGAAGTATCAAGGTATTTTTAGTTGCATGATTCTTAATTTGCTTCTCCAGACTTCAGGGGTTGGTTGATGTAATTCTTGTTATATTATGTGTAGTGCTCAACATAATTCGTTCTTTTAATGATCCTACATGTGGTTTTTTGTTGTTGAGTTATGTAGCAAGAATTTGAGTTGCAGATCTCACTGAAAATTATCTTAGTGACTTGCCACTTGTTTATTATCCTCATTTTCACCTGTGAATTTCTATTTCGAGCAATTCTCATCTTATTTATTAGTTTTGCAGAAAGTACTTCTTTCTGACTGCTTGTGGAACTCCTTATTTGTATCCACTTTTTAATGAATAAAACACATGCAACGCTTGATTTAGGAACGTGTTCGATTTATCTACGTACCTATATACTTAAACATGTCATTTGCTATGGTAAGGAAAAGATTGCATTGGATAATTTAGCAAGTTTTTGAGTTGATTCATGCAAAGTTGAATACAGCGAGCAGTATACTGCTCTTTGTTTGAGGGGCATTGATGGTAATCGTAATTTTGAGGTAGTTGCATGTATTCTTGAAGTTTTATTTGAAGATTGAAATAATACTGAAAAGACATGCAACGAATTAGTGATGTGTTGTATTTATCTACGTACCTGTATACTTAGACATTAGAAGTTGCTTTTCGTCGCTTTGCTAGTCCTGTACGATATTCAGTATCAGCGTTGTGCTAGGATAAAGTGAAGTGTTCTCGTATTATAATGAACTCAGGGAGTAAGCGACGTGTGCAAAAATATATAAAGAGGACGGAACTCTTATTGAGTATTGACAGCTAGTAATTGTCAGACTACAGATTACTGCTCAAAAGTACTAACATAATCAAATGGATGGATATGCACTGTTGATTTATGTGCATGAAGGTGGGATTAAGATAATTTTTTCAATCGATTTTATACTCACATGCTAGTTTCATCTTACATACTTCAATATGTGAACGTAGCAATGTCATGCGGTCTTTATAAGCATGTCGTATTACTGGTTTTGTCTTAGGTATTCTGTGATGACATTTTGTGTCAGTGTCCAACTAATGTGGGGTAATCTGTATTGACATGATTGAATTAGTTTGAACAGGTTGCTTTATTTCTATTCACATATCTCTATGGCATTACATTTTGACTATCTCTGATATTTAATAGTAATAGTATTTTTGAAAAACTTGTACTTGAAGAGTTGTATTTCTTCATTCTATTGACGGTAATGTTATTATTGACATTATGAATTGCTTTTCAAATGCTTAGAAAACAAGGAATACTCTCACACTGATTAGTTTCGTTAGCTGACTTGTTTTCTCTGTATTATGTGAAAATTAGGACTATTTTATATTTGGGCTAACTATTTTGGTTGAGTACGTTTATGTCAAATATGAAATGTCTTAAATTTCTGAAATTAAGAAGAGATTAGTTATTGCCTTGTAGATTCAGCTTACGTGAACAGCCATTTTGATGGATAAAAAAAAGTATCTCTCGGATTAAGCATGGAAATAATATCAATTTTTGATCTAAAATCTGTAGTTCTTTCAAAGGTTCGTTTATCTGTATCTTGATTTAGGATCTGAAGATTCGAATTTTTTATTTTTTCTTAAATGTCACATTTACCGTTTGTTTGAGAACATTATTTTCATTAAATTGTGCCTTCTAGTTTTAGCATAGAATGTTGAAATGTTTTAGCACAGTATATGAATTTAATTAAAAAACAAGTTTTTTTGAATTGCTGTAATTAATTTTGGGTAATGTTATATGACAAAAGCTATCAAAAAATTCTTCTTTTACAGGAGGAAGTGGGTATAGGAGAATGCCGATCCATTAATGATTTTCGAAAATTGAATCTTATTGGTGAGGGTACTTATGGCATTGTTTACAGAGGTCAAGATAAAAAAAGCGGAGAAATTGTAGGTTTATTGGGTTTTTATAAATTTGCGAAACTTAATTTGAGGTTTTATAGCTGTTTGTACCAGTTCAATTAATTTATATCACGTCATGTGACATTTACTTATATTTATCTTGAATTGAAATACTGTATGTAAGTTAGCCAAGTTTTTGTTTATTTTTGGATTCAGATTGCACTTAAGAAGGTAAGAATGAATGAGAAAAGTGAAGAGACCGGTATTTCAATGTCAACTATTCGTGAAATACATCTCCTTATGAATTTGCATCACAAGAATATTGTGAGTTTGAAGGAAGTCGCTGTCGGGCAGAACTTAACGTCTATTTTTTTAGTAATGGAATACTGTTCTCAGGTATTCTGATTTATTTACGTCTTAAAGTTAAAAGAATTTCTGAAATTATCAATTTGTTTTCATTTCTTATTTTATAAATAACTTGTTCTAGGATTTGTCAACATTATTGGATAGTATGCGAATACCATTCACAGAACCGGAAATAAAATGTGTCGTAATTCAACTATTGAAAGCTCTAGTTTATTTGCATGGAAAACATATTGTTCATCGAGATCTAAAGGTTAATGTTTCCTATAATTTTAGTTATTTCTGTTAAGCATTTATTTTGTTGTCTTCTACAGTACTTCACTTTCTGACTACCTAAACTATAGAAAGTGTTACAGGTTTCTAATCTTTTGTTAACTGATGACGGCTGCTTAAAAGTTGCTGATTTCGGATTAGCTCGAACCTTTGGAGAACCTTCTAAACAAATGACGCCAAAAGTTGTTACTTTATGTTAAGTCGATACAATCGCATAAAATACAATCGTTACAATCTGTTTTGTTTTAATTTTACAGAATTTTTATTTTCAGGTATCGTAGTCCAGAATTACTGTTTGGTGCAAAAGAGCAAAGCACTGCTATTGATATGTGGGCAGCAGGATGCATTCTGGGAGAGTTGCTCATACATCGACCGCTTTTACCAGGCGAAACAGAGCTTGACCAAGTATCTTTTATCTTTTTCACAGTGTGTAGATTGATATATTTTGCTGCTACATTCAATTATGTATAATTGAGGAAAAAAAGTAAATTCAGATAAATAAAATTATTGAACTACTTGGAACTCCAACAGAGAAGATATGGAAAGGATTTGACGATTTACCGGCCTTACGGAATTTTAATTTGCGGTCTCAACCTTATAACAAGTTAAAATGTGTAATGGGACGTGCAAGTGACAGCTGCTTAGAACTTTTGAATGCTTTTTTCACATATGATCCCTCGCTTAGAATTTGTGCAAAAGACGCTCTACGCTGCAGGTACACATGCAAGTTCACATTTATTTTCGTGAGCGTTATAGCAATATGTTAAATCAGCTATGATAAAACATTTCTTATTTTATATCATTATTTGCAATTAGGCTCTAAAGATGAGAAATATTAGAAGAGGAAGCACATCTATTAGCAGGTAGAAAGTAATTTTTGATTTGCAGGTATTTTAATGAGGCACCATATCCATGTGACCCACAAATGATTGTATTATTTCCTCATCATGGAAGTCGAAACCGCAAACGACGTAATAGTGATGATTTTTCAAAGTTTTCTTGATTTAAGTGTTTGGCCTAATAATTGACTTAATATTTTTGAAGTATTAACTTCGAGCAATTTTATTATTTTTAATTTATATAGTGCTGAAGTTGCTCTGTGAAATATCTTGAAATCAAATCGGAAATTTTGCGGGAAAGTGTCAAGATTTTTATTGTTGTTTGATATTTAGCAACTGTTCTCAAACAATTAATTTAAAAGGCAAGGTACATGATCAGAGTAATTTCATATTTTTTGAGTAGACAAAAATGTGTGATTTTTTAAGAAAGCTTTTTCTGATAGCGTGTTTTTCTTACGATCAAGCTGATCCATTCTAATCGAAAAACAAAGTGTAAATCATAATGGAACAATTTTCCATTTTCTGATTTCAGTATTATGATTTTTGTGGCTGTTTCAGAAGATTTATTGCTTAGCGCTCAGTTTTTCTTTAAAATGGGTATAGTACATTATGGCTCGAGCTTCCATAATTGTTTTTCACAATAAATGAGTTGTAAAAGTGGATTGTGTCCGTAGCCAGACCATAACATCTCTATTTCTAAAAATTAATAGTAGTTCAGCATTACTGAATTAATTCAGAGTAATAGTTCATAATATTATCAAACTCTAAAACATAATGACTATTTTTCGGTCGTTTTTGAATCAGTTGCTTTGCAATCTCTGATAAACACACAGATGATACATAAGTCACAGATGATACACCAGTGCTCATTACATTGTACATCAGTTCATTTTGGCATTTTTCATTTAATTTAGAGAATGGAACAAAAAATTTTGAGAAATAATAGTTTCTCATGAAAGTTTTCTTCAAGAAATGAAATACGCAGGTGTTCATCATGCAAATTCTTGAGACCGTCCAATATATATGGATAAAAGAGTACAGTTCTGGCGATAATTCATTTAGTTTGATACGTCTAATTAGCGGTTGGAGGTTTGTGTGTCAATATTTAAAGCGTAAATTTATCCTCACTCGAATAACTGTTATGTGAGAGTTATAACACGTAAATAATCAAGAGGTAATGCTTAACGAATGGAGGGAAAATCATTGTATATGGCAGTTGGTGTGGTAAACAAAACCGCAGTAAGTCAAGAAACAAATCAAGCATTACATAAACCTATAGCTCAAGCAATAACTACTAATAATGCTGAAAAAGATCGCTTACCCAAACTGAATGAGTTGATTAGATCTGAATTACATACCTATCATTTACAAAGAGTCGTCGGTGAAGGTGGCTATGGTACAGTATTTGAAAGTGAATCTGAGAAAGGGTTTGCTTTTTTCAAATTTTAATTACCTTTCAAGTAATTTTTATCAAGATGTTACATTTTGTGTTTGTTTTTTTTAATCCAATTCTAGTATTATCAATAATGAATGCAAATTTTATCTTCATGGAAACAGACAATAATATAGTTGATCCCGTAGAAACCTAATATCTATTCAGACTTGCACAACTAATTATTCTAATATAATATAGCGTAAGATTATACTATTATCACGCTTATAAATTTCGGACAGATTTTGATCTCAAATATATCATTTTTGATAGCACCGTAAATTTTGATCTTAAAACTGGAGTCATCAATATATTTTATTGGAATCAACTTTTATTTCGTTAGCAGTTTTTACGATAATTATAAATCCTCCTTATTTATTTATTGTTTTCACTACTATAGCAAAAAGTATTGAATTTTAAAAATTTGGAAAAATACTTAAAAGTAATTTTGATATTTGCAGGCATCGAGTAGCCATAAAAGCGGAAAAGTATAGTGAGTCAATGCTTCATATTGAAGCAAGCGTTATGCGTGCAGCTGCTCGTCGACGTAGTGAACATATTTGCGAGTTGATTGATTACGTAGGACCATTTTTCTCGTTCTTCAATATAATTATACATATTTATTATATCTGTTACCATGATTTCACGTAATAATTAGACCGATTTTACTTTAAATAAGTTTTATTCAATTCATATTGCTGTCTACATCCATGTTTTAAGTATTTTCTTGTCTCATAATGTTTTGGTAACATATTCAAATTTACTTCTATTAAAT